TCTCCGAAGCGAACGCATCAGACATGGCTATAGAAATGAATTCGTCTAAGCACCAATATCTGACCACCCGGTCAGTTCCATAGGTGGCCACCATGCGTTGTGAGGGATGGAATACAGCGCCATGAGTCTAAGAGTGACATTTCCAGTTGCTTAAAGTTTTACAGATTGAGGAAGCTTACCGATGATGGAAACTGCTTTAGGCTAAGCCTTTGCCGGATGTCAAACAATTGCAATGTGGAGTCGGTCCCTACTCCAAGAATGATATCATCGGGGCTAAGCTGAAAGAAAAAAAACCCTCGTAAACGCCTCAACAAGCGAATTTAGGGTATGGCACTAAAGCCAAATCTCTCTTCTGATCAAGTCGAGATTGATCCAAGATCATCTCTTGACTGAGTTGAACTCACCTCAACACATCGCACGGGTCCTGCCGCTCTACCTTGTAAAACATTGGCAGGATGTGAACGACTGTCCCAAATTATCCATGTCGAGTCAAGGGAACCGGAAACCTACAAATTTCATGTCTACATCAGCAGAATTTTTAGAACAAGATAATGGTAGTTCACAACATAAGAACATGATAGGTATGTTAATTCAAACAAAGCAGCAATATAAAATCAAATGGAGTGAAGAAACAATAGCAGCAAAGTTATAGACGTACCCATGAGTACACACTGCTCCATCTCGGTGCAAGTGCTCGCACGGCTAAAGAATGTCCGGAGAGATTCCGAATCTCACGACCTAAAATTTTCAAAATCAACCACGGAACAAACTAAAAGCAAATCTCCGACCTCTAGTTAAATCAATAAGTTTAATGAGTTCATTTGATCCAATCGCGATATTCCTCTCATCTGTGCTGAGACGCAAACAATCGACGTGACCAGCGAACGACACACTAGGCACCTAAAATAATTATTCTATTTCAGTTTGATCAAACCCTCTTCACAAATCGACGTACTTCGCTATCAATACCAAGCAGCGAGTGTGCAGTCAGTGGATTTGCCACAAATATACATCGTGATCTTGCCGATAAAACTGCATGCGTGGGAGGTGCGAATAACTTCGAGGGCTCAACAATGTCTGAAATTGTTCTTGATCAACAGATACAGACACTCACTCCTTTGAGAATTGTTCCCAAATTCTAGCATTAAGGAAGAATTTGTGAGAGTTTTACTTGTAAAAGCAGTTTTCTTGAGATAATGAATGAACCCCTTCTCACAACAACAACAGAGCGAAAATCTCACTCAGTGAATGAAAAATTTACTATTTTTCCGCAATGTCGAGTACGAAGTGCA